AAGGTATACAAAAACAAATACATTTCTTTATTTTATCATGTACCAAAAATGTAAGGTACCTACCTCCTGGTTTTGGCATGATTACAATTTGTAGGTTTTCATGTGTTTAAAAAGACTACAATGAAATTTTTATATTGTATTTATAATATTAAATCGCAATGGTTTTATTTACATTTTTAACTGAAACCTAGTTTTAGTTAAGTGTAATAAAAAAATTATTAAACAATTTTAACCTTACCAAAGACCACTATAGTCTGGCACTTCCTGCCTTTCTGTCCTAAAACCTTGAAAATATATCTAGGAACTGAAATTTTAGATTGTAACGCGGTATAGGAACACAAGAAACGAACATGAAATATCTAAATTTTACCCGTTAAGAAACTTGTATATAATTTATCCGACATCCACCATCTTTTATGTCTGTGTGACTGTTTATAGGAACTTTCAATTTATTAAATATAAATAATAAATATTTATTTATTCTTTATTTTATATTATTTATATGCCTAGCATGAAAATAACGAACCCGGTTTGTTAGATTTTTAATCCGCTTTTATGTCGACACATTCGATTCGAATTTTATATGTTGATCTGACGAATTTTTATATTATATTATTACATTATATAATAAAGTKTATTCTTATACCTACTTAAGAAATGGTATAGAATCTTTCCATATGCATATATTTCCATGTAGGTGTGTGGTAGAACAATGATTTCTATACAATTCAGAGTCGACCTGATTGAATCATATTGTTTCGTGCTTATAATAATGTCGACAGAACAAGAGAATACTTCATTAATTTTAATCTTATCTGCTGTGGCAGTGACGTGTATTGTGAGGTAACAAACCGAGAAAATGTATACATTGTGCAATAATAATAATAATAATAGTGTTAAAGAGTTATTTGCAGCTTTATTCAAATAATTTAATTTTAAGATTGCCCTCCCCAATTTGAGCGACTGAAACATATTATTATAATTTATAAGAACCTTAGAAATGTATAACATTTTAGGTAGGTAGACCGTCTGTGCAGGTATCGATTTGATGTCRTAATAATAAAATAAGTCTCGTCGTATCTCGGATATAATATTATCGTTATACACATCGTCGGGAGTGAGACCTGCAGCACAAACGAAACATGAATAATAATAATATAATATACTACGATAATATTTATCAATAAACCTCTAAGCCGAGAACAAACACGATGAGTGTGTCTGTCTTCGTGTAAGGTATATAATATTTTTATGAAAATTACGTGCAACTCGATGCAAACATATAATATATGCTTAAGAATTGTTAAAGACACTATATGTATATTATTGCTTTTATATTATCATAACGGCATACAATGACCGACTAAATGCAATGGTATGATAAAAAAACGTATTTTTGTTTTTCTTAGAGAATTCGTGCTGATTTCTTTCGGCCGACGACGACGATGATGACCTCTGTCGTAAACTCGTAAATAGGTATATTGTTTCTCGAGTAAACTATCGAGAGTTTCTATATAGGTACCAAGCCACCAAGGTCGTGTAATAATGACTTTGTCGTTGTTTCGTACATCCCGACGGCAATAATGTATTTTGTGGTTGTCCGATAATAATCGTAGGAAACAAAAACAAACGAAAAACCTATACCTAGGTATACTCACCAACCGACGGCAATAATGTATTTTGTGGTTGTCCGATAATAATCGTAGGAAACAAAAACAAACGAAAAACCTATACCTAGGTATACTCACCAATAATACAATATATCCTTTTCGAAGCTATACGCCGCGCGTGCATTACTCCTCCCAATCGGATGTACCGTAGGTATACGCGGCAGCAGCTTTATCCGGTCGTCCTCCGGACCGTAAACATAATAACAAAATAATACCTAATAATAATACTATAACGTCGGGATTTATGCGTAACTTTAACGTACGTCAGACTACCTCGTACGCACGTCCGAGTGACACGCGGGTGGCTATATCAAATGTGTGCGATGGTGTTCAATAATATTATAATATTCATACATTCGTAATTATTTGAACAACAGTCGATGTTATCATGATAATTACGCGTACTCCGGTGATGGAACTTACCCACCGTCGGACAACGATTCCGAAATCAGCGGTACCTACCACCTGGCTACTTATTTAATATTATAATACAATTACAATACGGCGCATACTTGATTCTCACGCAACACCGCAAAGCATTTCTATGGAGGATTTTTGTTAATCATCCACAGAAATCAAATTTACTTTTAAACGTCAATAACTATAATTTCACATAACTATATAATATAACGTACGATGACACAATATGTTATTATAATAACAACGATTGTTTTGTGCATTTATAGGATGCGCTGCGGAAGCGAAAAGAAGATGAGGACAGGGTCGCTCAACAAAACGAATTTCTCAATCGGTCGATGAGAGGGTCGAAAAAACTTCGGGAACTCGAACATGAACCGCCGGAAACGGGAATTGTCAACGATGGGTTTTCCTCGGAACAGGACGAGGACAACAACCGCACCACTATCGGTGCGGTGGATGACGCCGAAGAAGAATCGCAAGATCCATACGAGCCGATATACAGGGTTGTAGGTGAGTGATACCATTTTGGCTTTTTCATTTTTCTTCCGCATTCATATTGTTTAGTCGCCCGAAAACGGACGCAGGTCTTGTGAAGTATTTCGAGGAAAGCTTATAAGTTATAATGTTACTTAGACAAAGTAAGGTGCAACACGAAGCAATAACAGGGTTCTAAATATGTCTAAATACAAGACGAATTAATACGGCGAATACCAGAGTGGCGCCACCCGTTGGCATACGTTTGTTCGCTTCCTCTCACCACACCCGAGGGGGGGGGAATTGCATTCTACTTCTGACGACTCTTGTATAGGTAGATACCTAAAGTATAAAAATATAAAGTAAATAATACGGCTTAAAGATTAAATACCKAGTCTACATATTTAAAGTTGGTAATAAATTATACTTATCAGTGTGATTTTCTCCCAGTTTTCGATATAATAACATAATATAATATCTGAATATTAAACACGCGCTCGGTAGGTACATTAAAGTTAAATTTATCTAAAAACAAATGATTTACCATAAGCGAACCGACTAAAATATAATAGGTACATTTAGAGGCACCGATGTCTTTTAAAATGTCTACTATATAATTATTTTTAAAACTTAGTAACCCACTCACGATCCACCCACGCATGAATATTAACAAAACTAGTTCTCCAACTGTTGATTTATCTGTCAATGACATTTTTTTTTATCATAGGTGAAACAAACTTTTGACGCCTCTGATAATATTTATTCATTATACTGGTAACAACTGAAATTTATATGTAAATTTCAATAAACATAAACTTAACATTAAATATATTTATTATATTAAACATGTAATTATCTTGAGAGGTGTATTGAAGTGACGCCTATCCAAATGTTCATAAAAACTAAAATATCTCGGGAAAATGTATTTGTCGCCCTTTTTAAAATACAGATCTGTTACCAAACACTAAACCGTATAGTCTATACGCTAAACTTCAAAAACTCTCTTCCACACGCAATTTTGTTTTTTCTTAATCTTCTCAAGATGTGCCACTGGTCGGACTCAGTCTCCTTTTTAGCACGAGACGCGATTCTTGTACGTCGAGTACAATTGGAAAAAATACAAGTTAGGTTTCTATGATGAAAGAGAAGGGGGAAACTACGAGGGGTATCCTCATTGTGTTCCGGTCGGAAACACCGTAATGGAATCCTATATATGATGTTATGACGTCAGGCATTCAGGTCACGTCGTTCTATAGTATTCCACTACATAGGTACTTGCAGTCGGCCACCACGAGCACGCCCTGTGCATAACAACCTGTCACCAACACTCGTGATGACAATTTTATTATTATTATTATACAGCATGTGTGCAACTGCGTGGCGTATATTGTAGTATTGTACCGTGGTATATACATATACTAACCTACCTACGTGTGTACGTACATAATAATATTATTATAATAGGTACTACAATAAATTCAAACTTTTCGTCAGTCGCGTTGCCGCACGATGCGTGCAGGTTGTTAGACGTTTTCATCATAGTCGTCGTCGTTGTTATTTTACAGGGTACGGTGAACTGATAGCTGCGCTCCAGAGGATACACTTACAGCTGAAAAAGAACGGGATCTATATCAATAGCAAGTCAGATCCAGACGTGGCCGTGATCCAATGCCTGTTGCTGAACCCGGAATTCGTCCGCGTGCTGTCCGTGCACAACAAGGTGCAGCAATTGTGGCCTCCCACCACGACCAAAAGGCCGGTGACTCCAGAAGCTCAAAATTTGGTTCGAGACGTAAGTTCATATTGTTATGTTTTTACTTTGAATCTTTGACTTTATGTTTTCACCAAGAGTGCCGTTTTAAATTTTTTTTTTTGTTAAAACAGTGTCTCGAGAGTATTCAAAATATTGACTTACCTGAAGCATCGGAACTCGCTAAACTATTGTCTCAGTACGAAATCGAAGGCGTTCTTTGGGCCCATGACACTATAGCTCAGGACGTGTTACCGCAAGACGACGAGGCCACTACTGAGGTAACGGTCACGTTGCCCGTGAACGATTCATCCATGTACAACACGGACCAACATCCTCCCAACATCACAATTATCAATATTGAAAAAACCAACGAACCATTGGTGCGTTATTTTGATATTTTTTTTTCACGAATTTGTTTAACAAAAACTTATGACGTGCATATTGTGTATATAGGGTGCTACTGTTCGAAACGACGGTGACGCGGTGATAATCGGTAGAATTGTCAGAGGTGGTGCTGCCGAAAAAAGTGGACTGCTCCACGAGGGCGATGAAGTGTTGGAGGTGAATGGTGTAGAAATGCGTGGAAAGTCCATAAATGATGTCTGTGATATCCTGTCCGTGATGACTGGACCTCTAACGTTCATGATTGTACCGAGTGCTAATCGGGTTACATACCAGAACACAAATGGGAACAGAGAAAATTTCATTGTGAGTTAAAAAATAAAAATATATTWTATCATATATAGTTAAATGTTTTTCTTGGTATTTTATTGGCACTATTAAACTGGGTAGTTATTTTAATTAGAACGCGAAAGTTAGGAATAATTGTATTTTAATAAAATATATCCTAGAATAGTATGAAATGTAAGTTTTTCTATGATATAGTGAAATGATTATATTATAGAATACATTTAAAAAAAATGTAATAATTACTTACTATGAGTCTATACAATAATTGTTTGCATGTTTTAATACAATATGTTATTTGTCATTATTAATATCACCAATTGTTCTATTAAAGATGCATATGAAAGCTCACTTCGATTATGATCCTGAAGACGATGGGTACATCCCATGCAGAGAGCTTGGTATTAGTTTCCAAAAGGGTGAAATCTTACATGTTATATCTCAAGAAGATGCCAACTGGTGGCAGGCGTTCAGAGAGGGTGAAGAAGATCAAACACTGGCCGGTCTTATACCAAGCAAATCTTTTCAACATCAACGTGAAGCATTAAAACAAACCATAACTGGCGACAAGCCTAGCAAAGATAAACCCAAAAAACAAAACACACTTCTCTGTGGCAAAAAGAACCTGAAAAAAAGGAAAAAGAAGTCACTGTATCAAGACGGAGGTTACCCTATTTATTCTTCCAATTCTGATGGTAATTTTTTTTAAATTCTTTAACAATATTTATAACTATTTTATTAAAATGAATTTCCATAACATATCACAATATTATTATCATATATAGAATATGAAGCCGAAGAGATACTGACTTATGAAGAGGTGGCCTTGTATTATCCACGAGCAAACCATAAAAGACCAATTGTGTTGATTGGCCCACCTAACATTGGCCGACACGAGCTCAGACAAAGATTAATGGAAGATCGAGATAGGTTTGCTGCTGCTATTCCCCGTAAGTGTTAATCATACTTTYGTAATTTTTTAAATTATTAAATACACTGCTCATTAATAGCGGGATTAATTGTTCTGAAGTTTTATATAGACTTTTCAACTTAAGTARAAAWTTTTTTTTTTAATTTTCTTTTTAGATACTAGCCGAGCAAAAAAAGACGGTGAAATAGATGGTCAAGATTATCACTTTATCACCAGGGTTCAGTTTGAATCGGATATTCTTTCGAGGAAGTTTGTTGAACACGGCGAATACGAGAAGGCTTATTATGGTAATATATTCTATATAAAAAAGAAATATTAATTACTGAAAATTATGGGATTTTTAAATAATAATTTTGTTCTTTCTAATCGAAATTATTCTATTGTGGATTCCATTATATAATAAAAAAGAAATATTAATTTGTATAAGATACATAATATAGAGGTACTATTAAGTAAAAATCATAAATTTACAGGCACGTCACTGGACGCCATCCGATCGGTGGTAAACTACAGTAAGATATGCGTGTTAAACCTACACCCGCAGTCGTTGAAAATCCTCCGGAGTTCTGATTTGAAGCCTTTTGTCGTGTTCGTAGCTCCACCATCTTTGGAAAAACTACGTCAAAAGAGACTAAAGAACGGCGAACCTTACAAAGTATGCATTGCTACATCTTAATAAACTAAACGTTACTTATACGCTCCCTTCATGCGGGGCCTCTGGTCCCTGTAAATTGTAATAGAAAAAATACTTCGATTTATTATTATTTTCTCATTATTTTTCACGTAAAATGACAACAGTAAAAAAACGTAGCAGAACTTAATAAAACAAATTATAAAAAATAAGTGGAATAATATTTTATGTTTGATATTAATTTATTCAAGAAAGTTAACATAGAACTATGTTTTAGCAGTTTGATGGGACGGTTTTCTATTTTTGTCGTACGAGCAAATCTACTATTCTTGACAAACTTAAAATTTACTTATTTCCTACAATAATTATACGAATATTTTCGTGTGAAAGATCTTTAGCATGGAAGTCTATAAATAATATTTTTACCCCACACCGATTTTCACAGCGACTAAATTCTCGGTAATTGTGCCTAACCTAAATAATAAATAATATTTATGTACAATACATATATACATATATATACGAGTGGTCGATAGCCGCGCCAACGTCTTTAATTATTATTATACGGATATAATTTATACATATCATTTTATCAACCAACGGGATTTACAGTCCAAGTGGCCACATATCTCCTATTTTTAAAGTGGTGCATTTTTTCGGACAATCGGACACATAGCTCTAAAGGGAGACTGTGCTCACCATAATGAGATTTAGAGCATTAGATTTAATTGATCAATTATACWGTATTAGACCTTTATCGATCATATATTCACGTGAATTATGAACAACATTTTTTTGCAGGAAGAAGAGCTGAAAGAGATCATTGAAAAGGCGAGAGAAATGGAAGACAAGTTCGGCCATTACTTCGACATGATCATCATTAATAATGATACCGAGAGAGCGTATCACCAGTTATTAAGTGAAATAAATAGTCTAGAAAGAGAACCGCAATGGGTGCCAGCTACTTGGGTAAAAACCGCGTCATAGCGGTAGACGATAGATATTATTATTAGCATTATTATTATTATTATTATTGTATAACTATTATCATTGTTACGTTGTAAAAAGTTCATGATGACTGATGAACAGAAAAAAAAACGGTGCTTGCCGATCAAGTCAAATGGCTGCGTCAGGTATTCGGTGTAGACATACACAAAACTGTACTTAACTTAAAGTAATACTATTATGTACTATGTTTGTACAGATTRAAAAATGGAAAAAAGTAATGTGATATATTACCTTAAATATAGTTTAGTAGGTATAATGTTATATGTAAATGATGACCAATGAAAAGCCATCAACTTTGCCATTTTAGTATGTATAACTTTATTTATAATATTATTACGACCCTCGAATGAATGTTTTCCGTTGATTCCCCGTCAAAAAGAGTTGATGACTATTATAAAATATTATTATACAACACACAAAATATTCGGAAACTTCTCGTAAATTTTTATAAAACGACTGAGCCCCACTCTTGTACGAACCCCTAATGTATTAAAAATGATATGTAAATATCCAATAATATTGTATTGTCAATACTTGTTCAATTATTTTTGTGATTGTGAATGTTTAGAATTATTATTATATTATTGTTTTATCGTTTTTCTGTGTACAAGGTGTGTACACAAATCATAATAATATTACATTAAATTACAATAATGACTATCGACGAACCGTATTTGAAATATAACCCATCACTCACACGGTGTAGGTATATAAAATAAAATAAAATGATTGTTTAAAATATTGAATTTATTGAATAAATTACCGTACAGTGTAATATGCAGCCGATTAGTGAATGAGTAGATGACATCGGATATGTATAGGATATTAAATAAAACTATTTTTAAATCCTGAATTCGCACGCCTTATGTGTGCCTATATAGATGACTACTCAGGCGAGTATTATACTTAACTTTTTATTTTTTTTATTAAAATTTTGATTTTTAAACATGACTTTTTCACTGTGTCGACCGCGGTTCAGCATTTTTTGTGTGCACAAAAGTAAAACTATACATATATATAATACTTATATATTGTATCATTATTATTATTATTATTTTTTACTGTACAAATCTAACTCGCCCGTGCAACATTATTTTATTTATTTTTATTTCGTTGTTTTTTTTTTTTTTAATATTGACCTAAATACATATTAGGTATGTGCCTATAAACATTATATATACCTACATATATATATAAATTAATGTAAATTGTTCTTTATTTGTACACATGATTATTATTATTATTATTATTATTATTATTTTAGAATCTATTAATAAATTCAGCTCAATATTAGACGAAATATTTTACTTGAAAGACTTACACATTACATTCCTCTTTGTAATGACTTTCTCCTAACAGACGATTTTGATGATATTATATACATGTAGAATTATTGAAGATATAATGCGTGGCTCCGTCATAAAAAATGTAAACGGCATCAGACACACGCCTGTCATCTATATGTCAATATTTTTATGAAATAATTGATTGGACGTATTGAAGTGCAGTAAGACTTATACYTAAATGTCATTCTTGTGATTGCCGGAAAACATTATTCTAAGTATGTAAGTTGCAACAAATTTAGATCTTAGATATTATTATGGTTGACGACGACTTTCAAGGATTTTATACTATCAGGTTATCATGAAATGAATATGGGATGTCTTTTTTCGCTGAATGTCAAAAATCGACCATTGCAAATAATATTGACGTTGTAACGTTAATACATGAGGAGGGAGGCGAGGGTGTCWTATTATKTAATATTTATTATAAATCAATAATATTGTAATAATTATTGATAGGTTTGAACTTTGAGGTACATTTGATGATTTCATCACTTCAACAAGATAACTGCAGCTATTCAAGGATAAGAAGACCTTTTAAAATAAACCACACGTTTAATTTTTATTGAATATAATATATCTGTAAAACAATAATATATTATCATAATTTTAAGACACCATATATATTATTTTTAAACACAATATGCAATACACATTTAAGATCAGTAATTTTGTTTAAAGTTCAATACAGTGACGTCTTACAACGTTTGACCGTAAAGTATTTAACATGTCAATGCGACTCTTCGTAGTYAATAATATTTGGACTGTTATTGAATATGACTAAGGTCGTGAGTTCATAAATTCTTTTATGGCCTACCGTGGTTGWTCAAAATGTGGTCCTTTTAATTTCAGTGTTCTATGCCTTATCGTGGTCCTGGAATATGCAATTATGCGTTACCGATATAATTATGTTACAATAACAACAATAATATTGGAAAACATTATAAAATATAGATTGCCCTCCAACATCTAAAAAATCCTCGTAAGTCAATGTAATTTAATATTTTATTATAATACAGTGAATAAGTATAATAAGACCAATGAAGTAGGTAYTAAATTCTACGTAAAATATGTACATTGTACAGTGGCCATCACTCTMACGGGTGAACATCCGTCTCGCCCGTGTGGACTATGATTATAATATTGTGTGGTTCGAAATGYTTTCTCATTGAAAATAGWAACGATATTGTATTTTGTATTATACAGGGTAATGYACCAAGCACGCCCATTGCTTATTCCCATTTTTAGTTAAATYCAAGAGCTACATTTCCAAATACTTAAATTTAGAAGTTTAGGGTGTTATAGTTCTCAGAAGTAATGCGCGAATTCTTTTTCATTCAAACGAGAAACACTTTTTTTTGCCGTACGTTATTAGMTGAAATTTTTTTTGAAAGTTTTTATCTTAAAAAATCCAAAATTTTGAGAGCTAGATATTGATATTTTTGTACTAGGTCCATAGTTTATGATAATAGGATAAGTATCTATATTMTATTATATATTTTAAATTTTACCTATTTAAAACGATTATTAAGGATTATAATTATTAATTATTATACTAATTACAATTAATACTTAGTACAAACTACAAATATTTTAATAAAATAAAAGGAAAGGGGGGGGGGCTAGAAGCATGTTTTGCTAAATATCCTGTATATTATATAGCTTATTACTTATTTTATTAGACTTTATGGGTATCAAGTGTTACTGTCGACAGTGTAGAATCATATTTACTCAAAACACAATAATATTATTGTTATTGTTCACTGATATTTTATTTTATATAACCGGTGGTATTCAAATCGTATATAATATTGTATGATGGTGGTTCATGTTAATAAAAAAATAATATCAACGTGGTGGATCATTGTTGATAAATAATGCAGTGTAATATTATGAAAAGACTAGGTACCTATATAATATTACAATTTACAGTTATCTATTTTATTATATAGGTATTATAATACCTACCAAATGTCTTGTTAATATCTGTGATATAACGTTTTCAGTAGTTCACTTCCTTATATCGTTCATAAAAATATCTCATGGTTGTTTCAGAGTTCAGACTAAAATATTTGGCATGACGTATCATTAAGTACATAACTCTATTTTATTATTTTATTATTTCATTTAAACATTCAATACAATAATGAGTATAGGCACTATACCTAGGAACCTAGTTTTATCATTACATTTTTTTTTTATATAATAATATTATTGTTCGTTTATTTATCTATTTTCATATTTACGGGCGAGCTCTTTTCACAAACATGAAAAAACACCTAGTGACAGTTATAAACATTAGTGATAAGTATAGAACTAGGAAGTTGTTGTATCTGCATGTGTTTTTTGAGCTATTAAAGGTATATTGGTAAGTTTGAAATAATTACCACGACACTACCAACAATTTAATGTTTTGTTACGTTTAAAGATCATATTTGATGATTGATGATGAACATATYCTGTTTTTAATAATAAATACTTAGTAAAAATTATAAAATTTAAAAATACTTATATTTGTGAAAAGTGTGTTGAGTAAAAAATAAAGTGAATATTTTAAAGCATATTGGTACTTTTTTTAGCGTACAAATGTGTATCATTTAGTAAATTTTAACTTTTAAGTTTTAAGTGAATTAAGTTCCGAATCCTAGTGATACGATACAGATAATAATTATTTTAAAAAGGAGGTTTCTAAATTGGCTAATAATTACATAAATCTACGGATTGGTTCAATTTTGTTTCAGAAAAACAAAAATAGTAAAATATTGATTCCATGAGGATAGATTAATAAAGAGGATAGAACTAAATTAAGTACCTACCTAAACAAGTCGTTGTATTGTATGGTATAACCACTTATCTACCATTTTTATCAGGTGCCTAATTTTTTAAGAAATATCATTTGAATCGAGTAAAAAGGTATAAATACTATAATATAGGTATGTCATATTATTTAAAAAGTGATAAATTGACCGTTTCACTGATTCGTGGATTAAAAATATTTATTTAATTATTTAAAGAATCTTTCAAAAATCTTAACTCTTTATACTCTTACTTTCTAAAATATATATTAGGTGCCTATTAGGCCAGTACGATTTTTCATTTGTAATGACATTTCGGAATTTTATAATAAAATACAGGTACCTATATATATATTGATCTATTAATATATTTTAATCTTTTTAAACATTAAAACGATCATAATATTTGGGTATCATATTTTCCAAAGTTATTGGAATAAATAGCTAGGTTGGTACTCGATTTTTTATGAAAATTAGTATTCCAAATACTTTTAAAAAAGGCATTTATCCATTATCATAAAATGTACAAGAAACGTACTCTAAATATAGAAAATTCAAATTTAAAATTTCATTTTTAAGTTGTTTGATTGACACACTGCAATTTCAGGATTATTTGCAGAAAAAAAATTTACATTTAAATCCAAACCTTATTGATTTCGAGGATGATAAATTATTATTTTTTTATTGATATATTATGGATTATCATAAACGAATTTCAACGGGTAAAATAATAATATACATATACTGTCGGAATAGCGATAGTAAGTATACAGTGGCATAATATTAAATAATATTTACACCAGGGTATTAAAGTGAAAAATATGTATATAATACTATATTAGCGAACGGGCGTCAACCATGGGAGGTACATGATAAGTAATAGTTATCCACATTGCCTTCTTTGCTTCGCACATCAAATCAACTAAAATTCGTTCATGGATYAAATTATATATCAACTATTTACTTTTACGTAATAACAAATATTATATTATACACAGTGTGCAAACGAATTATTGATACTATTTTTTAGGCCAATTAACATAACGAGTCGTAGCTGGTATGTTCACTAATCGCATGCTGCAATCGGATAAAAAGATAGAATTATCTACAATTAATAATTATATATTATCGATTGATAAAATATCCATCTAATCAAAATGTTGTTGGTGTCAGCAACTCACTAAGAGCAAGTTGYTCTTTTAAGAGTACTTTTTTTTTTTTGAATTCTCAAACAAATAACGGTTGAGATACTTGATATTTTCACCATACTATGTTTGTATGATAATTTCTACTTATATTATAAATTATATATTTTGACTGTTTTTAAGCCATGCATAGATATTATATAGACTTTTTTCTATAAATGTYGATAAAAATTGTTCGCGTGATCAAAGACCTTGAAAATGTAATACAACAATACAATATTCCTCGTAAATAGTGTTATACCTACCTATTATATCTATTACCTAAAAATCTAATTAATATATTATTATTTTTATAGACATTCTAAACGAAATAAATTCCGAAAAACTTAGATAATATTAAACGAAGAATATTGATTTGTGTAGATACCTGATAATATTTTGTTGTAATTTAAAAAATWTCTTTTGCGGATACTTGAAACTTTTTTAACGTATATATTAATAAATTTTTTATGTCATCGCACGTCTGAATGGTTTTCAGTATGACTTGATTTATAATGCATTTTCGTAAATTCACGATCTGAACAAATTTCGCTATCTGGATGCGACATGTATATATATTATATATACAAACGTAGGTACATTTAATTTTATACAAATTGATACATATAAATAAATAGAAGATAAATAATTACTCTTCAAAAATATTAAATTATATCATCACTTACTTTACATAAAACATTTAAGTTTTTCATGCTCAGTTATTCACTGGATAATATGTACTGCTATACTAATAT